TACTTAAGTACGTTTAAGATTTAAAAAAATACTTTTCGTACTTAAGTACAATAAATATCACATACTTTAAGACTTTTACTCAAGTAATATTCTAAACAGTGACTTCAACTTCTACCAAAGTCATTTTCTGGTAAGATATCTGTACTTTTACTTGAGTATGGCTTCAGGTACTTTATACACCACTGCTAAGGAACCCTCTTTTAGATGTTAGATATATGTATTGAAGAAATATCTTTCAAATTCTATTCAAATGCATTTGTATTTCACAAAACTGTATGAAGATTAAACATTACATATTATAACAAATGCAGAATTTTTTTAATAAAAAAAAAAAAAAACATCTTTAAGTATATACAGTATATGTATGTATGTATATAGTAGTATATATAAACATATTACCTTTAACCATTCTTTTGACATTAAAAAATAGGGGGTCTGAATACTTTCCGTACCCACTGTATATATATAGTTTTTTTCTTCTTCTTCTTTTTTATGTATTTGACAGTCCTAGAATTTGTATTACTTTTTTTGTTTTATTTTTCCTTTATAGTGGGCTTCTGTATTCAGTTATCTGTGGAAACTAGATACAATGAAAGTTTAAGACAAACTTTAACTACTGGCTTTACGATGAATTGCCTGAAACTGCAAATAGATTTTAAAAAGATCTGAAGTTTGAAGACAGTGATATATTATATACTAAGACGCTATGTATATCTTATGCTGTTTGTAATAAGTATGGTGCGTTTCTACAGAAAGTTTTTCTCAGTTTTGATGGGTTTGAGAAAGTTGAACGGAGAGTTTCAGCAGTATGTATTTGTGTCCTACAGCATGGAGGAGTGTGAGGCCCTTTGCACCCGTCTGGCTATAATGGTAAAAGGACAGTTCAGATGCCTCGGCTCCCTACAGCACATCAAAAACAGGTCAGTGGTTTATCTTTCTGTATCCTGTGTTTCCTCCTACCAATTATTTTTCATGGTTCTCACGTCTCCTTTTGTTTTCCACACGTATTGTTGCTCTAGAGCCTGATATCTCCTGCAGACACTTCATAATTTTGTTCCTGGTGATAACATAATCTCTGTACTTCTGACAGGTTTGGTAAAGGATTCACGGTGAAGATGTACTTAGCTGAAGCCTCCTGCGATGTAGATATGATCAGTAACTTCATGCAGCAGAATTTCCCCAGCACGTGCCTGAAGGTGAGAAACAGAGCACATCATAATGAAGTTCAAGTTATTGAAAAGTTCAAGTTATTGAAAAGTGCGGTGTATCGACTTGACGGCAATATGCCATATCTCATTTCAAATAGAAATAGGATGTTTACTGAAAAGCCTTGAAGGCACAGCAGCAAACTTAAAACAGCAGGTTCATGGGTCAGAGTGTGGAAATGGTCATAAAAACTGAATTATGCCTGTTTTTGGGACAAAAAAAAAACTTACTTACATTATTAGTAGCCCTAAGGGGGAAGACAATCTTACAAATTTATGATGTGAGCAGTGAGCACTTAAAGTGGATTTTAAAAGTTAACATTGTCCATGTTCTGTTCATAAAGGATCATCACTCAAATATGGTGGAGTACCACGTGCCTGTTGCTCCCGGTGGTGTGGCTTCAATCTTTGGTCTGTTAGAGTCCAACAAGGCTGTACTGCAAATCAAACACTTCTCAGTCAGCCAGACCACTCTGGATGAGGTAAGATGCATAAGATGTTTTTGGTCATTATTTATTTACCCTCATGCTGTTGTTCTGTGGAACACAAAGGGAGATCTATTTGTTTGAAGAATTTTCACACAGCTCTTTTCCATACAACTACAGTTCATAGTGATTTGTCAAGATTTAACAGACACATAAAAGTAGTCCTTACACTATATTGTATACCTTTTGAAGTCGATGTGTGAGGAACAGACCAAAATACAAATTAAAGAGTAAACAAGTGAGTAGTTCTTGAATGTTTAGTGGCCAGGAAGGAAAGAAATGAAAAGAGACACAAAGGTGGTGATGTGGTGACTAAACGATTGTCTTGACTTGTCTCTTTAGGTTTTCATTAACTTTGCCATGGGGAAGACGGACACAGACGAACAGGAAGTCACTGAAGGAACGGACATTGACAGTCTAGACTCGTACAATGCTTTGGACTGATGAAATACTTGCACATTATGGGATTTAATTAACCTCAAAAAGATATAAATTTAATACATAGGGAATCTTTTATAGGCTATATCATATTTTGGTGTTGTGATTTTTATGAAAGACAAAAAAAAATCTATTTTGTATTAAATAATAAAGTCGCCAAATACCTTATGGATAATTATTAAGGATGTATATGAATAATTAGGTGTTAATGAACTCTTTCTGCTCTTCCAAACTTGGGTTCAAATATTGCTCAACATTAAAGGAACTTCTTATTGAAGTTTGTTGCTATTTGTATCACCTTAAAGGGGGTTAATATGCAGAAAGTCTACATTAGTTTACATAGTTTGATGCAATCCATTAGTCTTTCATTTGTCATCAAACAACTCTGCTGCTTATCAAAGAAAATTAAGTCATTTATTTACTAAATTTATTTACTAAATTGTTATATATATATTATATATTAAGCAAAACATAAATAATTTACTCAATACAGAATTAAATATGTATGCAGAGTGAAGAGTCCATGCTCTTAAACTGCTGGCTGCATCGATGCAGCTCTGGTCTGGGGTTGATATAAATCACAAAGACCTTTTTGGCTCCAAGATATAAATGATTCTTCAATGTCTGCACATCTTCACTCTCATTAATATTTTCTCTGAAGGCACATCTCTTGTGCAAGAATGTACTAAATATTTCATCGGCCCTTTCCTCTGTCTGCTTCAAGGCACAGTTCCTCTTTTAAAAATGTACCAAGCTTATTTTTACATTAAAGCTATTTTTCAAATGCAGTTGTTGAGCGTTTGTCTTATTGAATGTAGTGCAATTGGTTCTTTATGTCATGAGTTGAGATATGCAATTTCTTTGCATAGAAAATTGAGCGCTGTGGAAATGATGAACTATCCAATGTTCAGACTGCATTTCAGGCATGTTCTGTCTTTTCCCTATCCATCCATCCATCCATCCATCCACCCTTTTAACCCCTCACACAGTAGCATTTTAAAGCTAAATATCTCCACTACACTTTACAGACATATTTTAAAAGCAAATTTTACAAATTTCTGGACTGAAATAGGTATAGGGTAAATGAAAATGAAAATGATTAAAATCACTATTGTACTATTGTAAAATAAATCAATTACACACGACCCATGGTAGTTAAATCTAATAACTGAAAATTATCCAGACATCATGCTTTTATAAAATATTTAGATTTTATTTGTTAACAAAATTCCCTTTTTTTAAAATAGTAGTAATAGAAATTATGCAGTTATGTATTAACCCATATATTCACTTAATTGCAATATTGTGATAAAAGAAAAACAAGCTAATAATTTTTCCATCTAAAAGTTATTGGATAAAATAATATTTTATCTTTATCCATGTATGACTTACAGTACATATAGGATAAAATATATCATGCATAGAAGTTTTTATTCTAAAACATTTCGGATGCTTTATATTGAACTTCTATATTTGTGTAAATATAAGTAAAGCGCTGCACGTCAAAGCCCCAGTTGACCAATCAGAGTGAAAGTTCGCTAAGCTCCTCCCCTTCGCTTCCCGCGTTCATGGCGTGCCGTGAACTTCAAAACAGGTCTGTAAGTTCAAAACGAGTCTGTAAGAAATACTGTGATCGCTCTCTTGCTTTGTTATTATGGATCAAGAAAGATAATTCTGACATATGGTCAAACCCTGTGACATGAACCAGGACTAGAGAGGCGCTTTTTTGCTGTGTTTAATGGCAGCTAAGCTTAGTTTCATAATGAAAGCAGATCAGACATCCTGGTTCTGACGTCTGAATACGCCAAAAACTGCCCAGTCCAAGTCATTTTGGTTTAATTTTGCAGCTCATCCCTTATGAGAGAGCCGGTGTGCCTTGAACATATACTTTGCAGGTAAAGTAAATTAGAAATGTTTGTCGGTGCCATTGATTTGATTGATTCGCATAATGCTTATCAGAATCCGTAGCTTATTTATAAATTGCAGCGTTTTCTGGTCTATGACATGAATATGTCAAATGAACTGTATTTAATAAAATATGCAATCGCAATGAAATTAATGCGAGTTAACCTGTTTTATTTTAGTTACTTTTCATTAAAGTATCATCTATGTGCAACAGTGACAGCAAATCAGGCAGTGTTGCCAAGTTCGCAGTTTTCCCTCGGAATTAGGCTACTTTAACACTGTTAACTTGCCCCAGTTGCTTTTCATGTCCGCGGATTGAAGCGACCCCAATAATGTGAATTTAGCCGAATATTTATGCGATATTTTACCAGGGTAACCCCGCCAAAAAAACGTATATTTTACCCCCCGGAACGCGATTTTTAAAGCTAGAGTAGAGCTTTGAGTAGAAATTGGGCGGGATTTGTTTTGAAAACTTGGCAACCCTGTAAGCAGGCGCATCTCAGCAGTCAGTTTAGAAGAATACTAAAAGTTTACTAGATATTCATATAATGATTAATCTCACGCTTTCTGCAGCACTTCCTATACAGGTGTTTTTGGCTTGTTAGGGCCCTTTTCATTGACTTTCAGCATCTCAAACTTGCATTCAGCTTCCCATAATACTCCTTTCTAATCATTTACCATCCAGTTTTTAAGTTATTTTCCCCATTCTACCCTTTTCTTCACATTTGCCAGCTTCAGATGTGGTTTTATCTTTGAAACTCTTCTTAAAAGGCCAGCGCCTCAGAGTCTTCTCTTCAGTGTTGCAGATGAAACTGGTGTTTGGTGTGTGTTGTTCATTGAAGCTGCCAGCTGAGCATCAGTGAGGAGTCTGTTTCTCAAGCTAGAGACTCTGAAGTTCTTGTCTTCTGCAGTGTTGTGCATCTGGGCTGTCAACTTCACTCTCTGTCCTGGTTAAATACAGTTTGCTTTCTTCTTTCAAGGAGGTGGTACATGCGATAGCCTTTATCTCTCAAATGAACAATAGACTGATGAGCATATAGGGAAAGCTGTTTCTTCACAGCCCTTTTGAAGTCAAAATTCGACTTCACAAATGTGAGTGTGCTCAATACTCAAAACAAAGATTTTGTGTTGCAGTTTCTACACTTCATTAAGTAGCACAACCTTTTTAACTGCACTGTCTTCACAGCCCTTTTGAAGTCAAAATTCGACTTCACAAATGTGAGTGTGCTCAATACTCAAAACAAAGATTTTGTGTTGCAGTTTCTACACTTCATTAAGTAGCACAACCTTTTTAACTGCATAATAAGAAAGATAATAAGAAAGGATACTTTAGTAATAAATTAATACATTACAGTGCTTTTTTTAAAGAATGATCTTGCAGTGTTGCACTATTGGCTGCTCAAAATGGGGCTTTTCTTTACAAATACAGATTGAGTTACAAAGCCATTATTTCAAACGGTTGTACTTTGCTCATTTATTATGGTTTCACTTTAATTTTGATCATTTAAAAGGTACCTTGGTTAACAGAAGTATCACTTTCAAAAACCATATTGCGTAGTTCCACAATTAGTTCTGGTACTATGAAAAGGTTTCCATGGTGCGAAAGGCCCTATTGTTGCTCCACGTTTGCCTTCTGCTCATTTTGTTTTGGTTACACCGCGTCGTCAAATCATGTCGCACAGCGTTGCACATTGTCATTACTTCCTGTTTTTGGTTCGTTTAGAAGTATTTAGTCCGTGTTGCGTTCATATATCATTCGAACTGCACCAGAGTCCGTTTGGAAGCGGACCGAGACCCATCTTTTTAGGGTGCGTTCACACTTGTCATGTTTGGTTCGATTAAAACCAAGAGACCAGAGTTCGATTGCTCTGTTAGTGCGGTTCATTTGAGCATGTGTGAACGCTGCCATCCGAACTCTGGTGCGCACCAAACAAACTCTGGTGCGGTTCGAATGATATATGAACGCAAAACGGACCAAATACTTCTAAACTAACCAAAAACGGGAAGTAATGACAAGATGCGACGCTATGCGACATGATTTGACGACACGGTGTAACCAAAACAAAATGAGCAGAGGGCAAACGTGGAACAACGATGAGGTAAAGTGCCTTTTATGAGCTCCTTGTGACTTTGCAGGTGGTGAAGATAAAATTATATGTACACGCAAGAATGAGCGCGCTTAGTCCAGCAGACGGCATTAGGTGTGTTTAAGTTTAACGCATCTTTTGTTTGGGGTTTTCGGTGAGTCCCGTCACGATATACACGTCATTCAAGCCGACCAATCAAGTTGTGAACGTATCACTATGCCTTTAGGTTCGGTGTCTTTAGGTTCGCTGTCAAAAATGCCAATGTGAACGCTAAGCGGACCAAGACCAAATGTATAATTTTCCTTTTTGGGCCGGACCAGATTAACCAAACGAACCAAACTACAAGTGTGAACACGCTCTTAGCGGTCTCGGTCCATTTGTTTGGTGCGCACCAGAGTAAAATATTTGTGATAACCTAACACAAGAAAGCTATATGCTTTCTTATATTAGAATGGTTTCTGAAGGATCATGTGACACTTTAGACTGTATAGCAGATAAAAACAGTACGACTCACTTGTTGTGCTCAGAGCAACCATCTGCATGTTTCATGAACATTATGAAATGAAATCATGTTTTGGATAAAAAAAAAAGGTCAATATTTTCAGATCTGTCAACTGTTCTCACAATTTTGGCCACAACTGTAATTTTTATTATTACTATTTATATATTATTATTCATTTATGTTTCATTTATATTATATATTTTGTATGTATTAAAAATAAACTATATATTTACTATATAATCTTTCAAAAGCCATAGTTTCCTAATTACATCTATTTATTATATTATTATTTATTTATTGAGCACTGTAACACCGCCTAAAAGTTTGACTTAAAATTAAATCAATTTTTTAAAATATATATTTTCTTTTTCTTTAGTTTTTTTGAAGAGTTGTTTTTAAGTTATTATGTCCTTTTATGTCTTTTTTTTTATGTTTCGCTTTCTGAGATGACTTCTTTTTATTTGATGGTCAAATGTGATTCTCTTTGTTTAGGCATGGTCACCGATACCATGAAGTCGGATGAGAGCTTTATCCCTAAGAATAAGAAGAACATCAAAATATGGTTTAGCCCAAAGAGTCGTAAAGT